TCAGCTCAAGGGTCACTGCCACGAGCTAAATCAGGTTAGAAATCAAAACCAGCACGCAGGTACAAGGGAGGGTTGCAGCTATCAAACAGGATAATCTGCAGCATGGTTTTTTTATGGCTGTGCACCCATAATGACATCTACAAGCAGGGAATGGTTGTGGGCTGGAATAAACTTGCTGGTTTGCTTGGTTCTGGTGAAAATTTTCACGTGCTTTTCTGCCACGAGCTAAATCAGGTTAGAAATCAAAACCAGCACGCAGGTACAAGGGAGGGTTGCAGCTATCAAACAGGATAATCTGCAGCATGGTTTTTTTATGGCTGTGCACCCATAATGACATCTACAAGCAGGGAATGGTTGTGGGCTGGAATAAACTTGCTGGTTTGCTTGGTTCTGGTGAAAATTTTCACGTGCTTTTCAGTATCAAAACACTATGCAAAAATAACTGGTCAAATCCAGCTAAAGTCACTTGAGTTATGTGGGGAATGAATTGGCCTCATATGCCTGAGATCTGAGTTAACATAAGAGCTACAAGTTATGTCTAAATTGTTTTCGTTAGAAAATCCTGGATAAAAAGGCACTTGTTAGAATAATTCTTTCTGTTATTATTTTTACACAATCTCTGATTTTTGAACATCATAAAGTATATATATAAACTATAAATCCAGCTATGATTTCATATGACTCATGCCACTGACTTTTTAATTAACTAAGGAGCCATCATTCTTGGCAAACTGTTCAATTGCATAGGTGTGTATAACACAATAATTGAATATAAAGGCTTATTTTTGTCCCTTTATTGATGTCAAGGGAAAACAGTGCAGTTATGAAAATGGAATAAACTGAAAAGATTCCTTCAGTTCCCGCAGGTTGATTAGAACAAATGACTTTCCATTCCCGTTTTTATGAATATATAGTGTTCTGAAAGCTTTATAGTACTTCAGGGAATGGAAACTGCAAGCAATAAATGATTCAGGTTCTCTCAGGTTATTGGGAAATAGAAGAATGGGTTTTATCTGGAAAGGGTAGAATTACTATTCTGCTGTATTTCACATAAATGTTTGAGAAAGAATCAGATGCAGTGATTTGTGCCTTATTTTGGGCATGGAAACAGCATGAGACACTTGCTCAGTAACACTGTGTGCTGCTGCCAACGCAGTGTGCAGTCTTTGTACACCTTCTCTCTGCAGCCAGCAGGTAGGCAGCAAGCAGTGTCAGAGCTTTGCTGTCCCCTGCACTGTTCAGAGTTCAGGGTTGCTTTGTCTCTCCTGGCCAGTGAAGGTATCAGATTTATTTTCCTGTCTCAGCTAGATAAGCAGCACTGGTTTTTATGGAATGAGTTTAGCTAAACAGTTCTTGCAGTGTTAGAAAGCTCTACTGGAAAAGGCTGTTTAATAAACCCCCTTTTTTTTTTTCTTTTTCTATGTAGAAAGCAGAAATATGGCAACAAAGGAAAAGCTTCAGTGCTTGAAAGATTTCCATAAGGATATCCTCAAACCTTCCCCCGGCAAGAGCCCGGGGACACGGCCTGAGGATGAGGCAGAGGGGAAGCCGCCCCAGCGTGAGAAGTGGGCGAGCAAGATTGACTTTCTGCTGTCCGTGGCAGGTGGATTTATTGGTTTAGGCAATGTCTGGCGGTTCCCGTATCTCTGCTACAAAAATGGCGGAGGTGAGTATTTATTTCATCCTCTGGGGTCAGTCTCTCTGCTTTATGCTGACTATTTCTCACTGTCTTCATCCGGTTTTTAAGAAGAATAGTCACACATCTGTTTTCTGCCTTTCTCACCAGTCTTAGCAGAGATTGTTTTATTACTTCATAGCTTTTATTAAAACTTCGTTAGGGTAAAACAACAGCAATTTAAAATGTTTTGCTAGTGGACCTTTACTGCTCTTTTACTTCTGCTATAATTGAGCCTGAGTTTTGACCAAAAGATACAGTATTAATATAGACCAGTAGGATTTCAGAGCAGGGGATTTCAGAATAAGAGCATTCTGAGCCACGTGAAACTGTTGTGTGCCTAACAATCTGCCATTGTTATTGCAGATTTTCACTTTAAAGAGGTAAGAAAATGCCCTTTCCAGCATATACCCATTCTTTTTGCAGAGAATATGAGCAAAAGTACTACAAAATAAGATTATCATATCATATTATAGTATCAAATATGTTTCTTTCTTTATATGTGCTTATTACCACTTTTTAGATGATCTTCTGTAAGTTCTTTCAGTTCATCTCAATTTTGTGCTATTGTATTTTCTCAACAGGTGCATTTCTTATACCTTATTTCATTTTCCTGTTTGGGGGAGGTCTTCCCGTGTTTTTCCTGGAGGTGGTGCTAGGACAGTATACCTCTGAAGGTGGAATTACATGCTGGGAAAAGATCTGCCCTATTTTCACTGGTTAGTACATCTTGTTGTGCTTTGCTGCTTAAAGACACCTGTGTAAACCATGTGTAGCAACACCATTCCCCTCATGTCCATTAATTCAGCTATTTGCTCTAGTAATTGAGGGTATGATATTGGTTCCTGGAAAGGTAGAAGTCAGAGAGTCTGAAGGACAGAGTGAGGTATTGATTTTGATGCTATCATTGTGTTAACTGGCAGAACTGCCGATGAGCAAGAAAGAAATTGCATATTATGCCTTTTAAAGGCAATTGCACATTTTGTTTACGAGTATCCGAGGAAGTGTTGTCTTGGGAGTTGAGATGGCAGCAATGAAACCATCTTTGAAATGTTAGTTTGGTCTGGAAATAAAAATCACAGTGCCATGTGAAAGCTTAGCATTGGCATCATCCCTCTGCTACTGATACAGTCACAATGTGGACAGCATTTTTTGGTAGGATTCGGGAACAGGACTTTGGTCACAATAGAGCAGGTCCTGGCAAACAGGCACATTGGTCTGATGCTGTTGAAGGCCCTTTGCCTGACTCACTGCTTACAGTAGCAATATGAAGGATGCTCTGGAAGCTAACTAGAATGAAAAATGAAAGACAGGTTAGAAAAACAGCCGAGGATGCCCTTTACAGCCGGACAGCACAGGCAGAATCGTTTGGAATAACCACACTAAACATGTGGCACTGTTCAAATCCCATTTGGAAAGAGAAGTGGGCACTCTGGCATGTCTCTAGCTCTGCCACTGTTGCTGTTCCAGGCATCTCTCTTCCCTTATGTCACCCCAAGCAGGGGTGGGGGCTTTCTGCAGGGCTCACACTCCCACCTAGTACTCAGAAAGCTGCTAAAGCTGATGTAATTGTTCTGCTATATCTTAATTTTCTTCCTCCTCCTCCCACTTTTATGAAGTGCTATTTTTTTTTATTTTGAGGAGGAGCTCTGCCACTGTTGCTGTTCCAGGCATCTCTCTTCCCTTATGTCACCCCAAGCAGGGGTGGGGGCTTTCTGCAGGGCTCACACTCCCACCTAGTACTCAGAAAGCTGCTAAAGCTGATGTAATTGTTCTGCTATATCTTAATTTTCTTCCTCCTCCTCCCACTTTTATGAAGTGCTATTTTTTTTTATTTTGAGGAGGAGGAAGGAATGTTCCTTGTTTAAATAGCAATCTCCCAGGCATCCATAAAGAGAAAGTGTAGCTAATGTGACTAGCTGTATTTCCTGAAGGAAATGTAGCTGTACAGAATAAATAGCACTTGCTGTGCTTGTTTTCACCTGACATAAAAATAATCTCTTGGTAAAGACTCCTGCTGCAACAAGGTTTTAAACTGTAACATATGAGTCAGGTATCCCAGGTGCTGGAATAGTCATCAGGGTGATGTTAAAGGGAACCTCATAGGTTCTTGTAAGAGATTGCTCTAAGTTTTGAAAGGAAGTCTCTTTTTATTGGCCTGTGGTTCATAAATGGCAAACTCTTTAAGCCAAGATTGATCCAGTTAACCATAAGAGCCATCAATACTATGCTTCCTTTGCACAGGTGAAATTGGGGCAGAAACAATGGCTTTCACATGGATTCCTTCAGAGTTTTCCTTTTTATCTCATTCAAGATCTGTCCTTTTTATTTTTTCACCACATAGACTGAGCTCAACCAGTCAATAACGGAGTGGTGCAGGGGCTGCCCAGCCGAGCTGCTGCTGAGGAAGTTGGCTTGGGGG